CAGGCTGGCCTTGAACTTGTGGCAATCCTGCTGCCTCAGCCTCCTGAGTGCTGGGACTATAGGTGTGCATCACTGTGTCTAGCTAACATATTTGTGTGTGTGTGTGGGGGGGGTGCTTGCCTTGTGCGTACAAGGCAAGAACTCTACCACTGAGCCACATCCCCAGCCCCGTAGTTTTTGATCAGCTTGTGTAAAGTTAAATTTTTGTTACCGAATTCACCGTTTTAAGTACCGAACTCTGATTTATGATCCCATCCATAAACAGAATGACTCATCACCTTAATATTTACAAATTCAGTCGTTTCAAAATTAAAGTTTGTTTTGTTTGAGACAGGGTCTTGCTATGTAGTTCAGGTTGACCTTGAACTAAGGCTGGCCTCAAACTTGTGGCAGTTTTCCTGCCTCAGGCTCCCCAGTGCTGAAAGTACAGGTATGTGCCACTGTACTCAGTTTCAGAATTAGTTTAGTGATGCACAAGTTAGGACCCTCAAAACATTTTTAAAAGAATGCCTATTTTGCTTTAACTTCTCAAAATGCTTAAATGTTGGTTTTGTAGATGTCTCTTTTTCTTTTTAGTGGAAATTGATGACTTGAAAAAGATTACCAATTCATTGACTGTGCTTTGCAGTGAAAAACAGAAGCAAGAAAAGGTAAGAGCAAACTGTGTAGGGAAATGTTTACTACGTTAGGATTAGTTATGGGTAGAAATTCTTGAGCTGTAGGAGGGTCCTATCAAGTTTAAAAGTCAAGCAGTTCAGCCAGGTGTGGTGGTGCACACCTGCAATCACAACACCCTGGGGTGCTGCGCCAGGAGGATCAGAAAAGACTGAGTCCAGTTTAATGGTGTAACCAAGACTCTGGGCCAAACAGTGATGCACAGTGATGCACACCAAAGTACAAAAAGGGCCTGGGTTTCTTCCTTTCTTTTTTTTTTTTTTGGTGCTGGGAATTGAACTCAGGGCCTCGTCTTTGCCAGGCAGGCACTGCACCACTGAGCTACATCCCTGGCCCCAGGGCCTGGGTTTAGTCCCAGTACTACAAAGACGACAAACATACAAAACCAAGCAGTTCACCAGTACCACTGAAGTTGAACTGGGAGTACAGATGGTCTTTTTGTTGATAGCTGTCTCGTGGGCCTGAGTTAACAGAAATCACTGTAGCTTAGGCTTGAGCTGTCCCTTAAAGAATGGAAGTTTTTCTGGGACCAGAAGCCTGGGCATCGTTATGAGGGTTGCTATACCAGAGAAAATACCAATAGCAGATAAAATCTCATGAATTAACTCTCTCTCTTATCCTTAGCAAAGCAAAGCCAAAAAGAAGAAGAAAGGTGTGGTTCCTGGAGGGGGATTAAAGGCCACCATGAAAGACGATCTGGCAGATTATGGTGGTTATGATGGAGGATATGTACAAGACTATGAAGACTTTATGTGACATTTTATCTTCTGGTGTCTTCTTTCTGTTGCCCACAATTCCTTCAACATGTAGCACAACTTCCTTTCCTTTCAGTTCTGCCAAATGCTACAATCAGAAGTGCAGTATCTTTCGTGCTGGTTATTTAACCCCTTGACACTTAGGTGCTAATGTGCAAATGAGGGAACTTGGATCTTGCTGCCAAGGGGTTAAAATTGGGAACGTCAATTGCTACTAAATCATAGTTGAAAAACAGATCTAATAATGTTGTCATTGTTGCTATCTGGTTCCATAGCAGCATTCACTAAATTGGAAACAAAGGTTGCAACATGACAAAAAATTATGTAGTATTTACCAGCACCATTCAGTAATACAGCCTTAACCATACCTCCTTGAACTACTTCATAACTTGTCAAGAAAAGCAGTTTGTAGCAAGGGCATGTGGTGTGCACCTAGTATTAAAATTGCTTTGTCTTAAAATTGAGCGTGAGGATATTAAAAATCCATTGTGAAGAAGACTGCTTATCTCAGAGTGAAGATACTTAAAAACTAACTGACCAAACCCTCCAACTTTGAAGCTGAAGAAGGGTAAACCTCTCCATTATTGCAGTACAAGTTGTGGAATCTGTTGAGTGCATAGACTATCTAGTTTTTAATTTATTAGACTATTTCTACTGATGGTGTGCTTCAGGATTGGGGAGGGAAACTACCTGATTCAAGTGTCTGAGAAATAAATCTTGTTCTTCTAGGCTGCAGTGGAACAACTTCAACAGGGTTTTGGCATTTCCTTCCCTTTATAAAACATGCTCAGCAAACTGCACCAGTTAACTACAGTTTGGTAAATTGTTATGTTCACAATTATGACATCTGCGATGTTTTATAAAGTAACTAATTTAATAAAATTACTATTGTGAGGACTTAAATTTTGTGTTACATCCCAAGAGATATTTTTGGAGAGTACAGAATATAGCTCTTGGGACTAGAGTTATCTATATACTTACTAAAGCTTAATCAGTGCTTGGTGTAGTTACAGCTTTAAAACAAGAATGATTTGCCAGGTCATTAATTGTGTCACCACAGAGCAGCAAAGCCATAAGGCTGTCTTATTTATTTGGGAAATTATTTTGTTTACCTACTAAGGTCTAATTAAGTACTAGAAGCACTATTTATTTGGAGTAATAGAGCCTACAACTCAGGTTATGGGTACAAGCATAAACTAGGATCTTTATCTTCTCCTAAGTGATTAAACAAGATTTGTGGGTTTGTCTTTTATCCCAACTGTCACAACCAGAGCAAAAACTATTTTTTAATTTGCGTAGGAAATAGGTTCCTCAGCTCTGAAGACTAAGTGTAAAACAGGACCATTTAAATGACTTGGTAAATTAATAGAAGGTCTGACTACACAGCAATAATTATAGCAAATACTGTTTTTTAAGGTAGACAAGGGCTAAAATTTCCTTAGCAGTAATAATGACATACACTGAATTTAAAATCTATTTTATTACAGAAAGATCAGTTTCTAACAAATGAAAATGTATCACCTGTTCCTTAACTGTGTAAATAATATTAAATTTCTTTGAAACTGGAATCTGCAGGCACAGGTATCCTTTAATTATTGCATTACCTCCTAGTGCAGCAGTTTCATCCTGAGGAAGCTTTTAATCTTAACACCAGCATCCATGTAAAATGGTATAGATGAACAAATCACTTCCAAACAGGAAATTTCCTGCTCAAAATTCTCTCCTCCATTCTCTATCACTCACAAAGGACTGAGATGGTATATTCCTGGGTTTTTCCAATTCAGACCCCAAGCTGCCCAGTGCACTCAACTCTTGATCACGGACATCTGTCAGAATCTCCTGTTACAAGACCACAGCACCTCTGAAGTCATCTAAGCCGCAAGCATGTCCTTCAGACAGCAACCTGTTTGAGGGTCCTTCAGAAGCACATTTATAATTTCATAAAATTTGTGTTCATATGCCAACTTGTAATACAAGTAGATATCTTCACAGTATGAGAGTAACTTCTTCAGGTTTTCTGTGCTTGTATCAGTAGGCTGATGTTGTTTATATCTAGGCAAAGAAATGTAAAAAGCACAGGTTAAATACTGTGTTTTGAGTGAGGACTGCTATCTCTGACAGAACTGCTTGTAGACGACAGAGTGTTGTCTGGGAGATTATTTTCATTAAAAATAAGTATATCAATGCTCACCTTCAGTTTAGTATCCCAAAAAGCTCTGGATTAGGTTTCTTAGCACCTCCCACATTAAGTGTAAGGCACCATACTTACTCATCTGCTTGCATAAGTCTGCTAAATATCACTCTTCTGGAGACTCTTGACATCTCTTCCATTTTAAGCAGAAGAGTAAGCTAAAGGTATGTCATACTTAGCCATAAATTTCTTATTCCCATCTCACCTCAGAGTTAGAGAGAAAAGCTTAGTCAGCCTCGACCGCCCCCCCACACTGGACAGGGTCTCACTATGTTGCCCAGGCTGGTCTTGGCTCAGGTGAGCATCCACCGGTTTCCCAGGTAGGACTGTGTCAGTGTGGGCCACTGCACCCCACATAGTCTACTTTAAACTTACTTTTTTGAAATCTCTTCAAATACACTGGGTCCTAATAACCTTTGCTGCTTAAATTCTTCCAGGTAATTGAAGTCTCCTTTAAGAATCACTTGTTGGTAGAGAATTTCAGCCCAGTCTGGAACAAAGTCATAGGCCTCAGCTACAATAGATGCCTTCAAAGGATGAAAGTGGAGGACACAATTTAGAGCCCGTTTAATGCATAACTGGAGACAAATTGTAGAAAATAACCACACATGCAATGAATACGATCATTATTAACTCTGTTACAGACTATCAGGCTGGGGGTGTGGCCCAGTGGCACAGCACCTGCCTGACAAGCATGAGGTCCTGAGTTTTTTTTTAAAAAGTATAAAAAAAACCCCAAAACTATGAGAATTGGTGAAAAGTATGTCCTGTAAAACCCTAAACACCTGCCTTCAGTGTTTGCAGCCTTCACAGTACATTAACATTTCTGAGGGAGAATGTATCTCTCAGAAGGAACTCTATAAGGAACAGTGAAGGGCTGAATCCCTGGTGTCAATCCCAAAGCCCTAAAACCCATCCTAGCAGCGCTCTTCTCAGAGCTGACAGGTGCATGGTTCTGTGTGCATACAGGCTGAGATTCTTGCAGGACCATTAGCAGAGATGGGACTCTGAATGCAACTGTTTCTGGGGCCAAAGATACCTGCCTTTGCTGCTTTAATAGGATGGGGAAAAGGAGATGGTAATGGTTTACACTGTCCAAGGTACCCAAAAACACGCTATGAAGAAATACAGCACCCCTGTGTCCCATTTTTTTTGACATAGGGTCTTGCTAATAGTTCACACTGGCCTTGAACTCCCTATGTAGCCCACACTAGCCTTGAACTGAAGGCGATCTTCCTGGTTCAGCCTCCCACGTCCTGGAATTACAAGTGTGTGCCATCACACCCAGCTAAGTCACCTTTTTATGGTTGTATTAAGTCAACAGGCCTGAGGTCTGTCGCCAGCCCTGAGAAGGTAACTCCACCTTGGTCCCATTAGTGCCACAGCAAGACACATGCTGCAGTGCTGGCTAGTGTTTTGTTTCTTGTTCACCTGGTAAAACCGAGGTAAGGCCATGATACAGTCCATCAGCTTATGGCGAGCTAAGTTGATGACCATTGTGTTGTGGCCAGTGTTCAGAAAGTGAATCTGTAGTGTTATCAGCTTGGAGAACCGGTGACAGTGCAGGGCCTGTCGCACACAGGAGTCCTAAGGGACAAGGGTGGAGGGAGACACAAAAATGTGAGCCATCTAACAACTGTACTCACCCCCCTCTACCCTGCTTGGCCCATGACACTACCTTCCCTTAGAGGAACCCTGGGCCAAAAAAAGAATTCTTAATTCACACCATTCACACTGTTACCTTGGCGTAACTCTCAGCTGCATCCAGCATCAGGGTCAAGGCCTTCAACAGCAGCTGCTTCAGCTGCTGCCCATCTTTGAGGCTGTCCTCTGCAAGGAAGAAAGGACACTGCTGAGTCGATCTAACTCCCAGGTAGGCTGTTCTCTCACTCAGCCAGGGCAGGCTAAGCAGAAAACACCCTAGCCATATTCACAAGGAGGTAGGAGGGGTGTCTCAGGTAAAAAGGCTGTAGGGCCTGAAATGCGCACACTATTTTAACTTCACCTTGGAGTAGGCACCTGTAGTCCTTTACTGTGCTCTGAGCACCAAGGAAGACTTCTATAGCATCAGCATGCAACCGTTCCTGATGAACGATACTTTAGATGCGCAGGACCCAAGAGTGAAAATGCCTCCCAAACACCCTCAGTTTCCTGTCTACTTAGCTGAGGCCCTGCTTCAAACAGAACTTTCCCATTAGCAGTGTGCTCTAGGGTGCTGTAGTGATCTTCCTCACCCCAGGCCTGACACTCGATCAACTTCAGCTGGATTGAGGCAGCTGCCTCATGGTTCTCCCCGATCTCTCGGCACATGCTGAAGCACAGGGCAATCATGTTGTGCTTCTCACTGTCCCCAGGGCGGCAGCGTTTGATGTAGTCCAGCAGCGCTGTCTTCAGGGTCCCACTCTGCCAAGGAAGAAAACGGAATACCAAAATGACGGCACAACAGGTAAGACCAGCTGTCTCAAAAGTTCCCTAAAAACTCCCAAGAGAAAGGAAAAGATAGCTAACCCTGAAAATGAATATAGGTTCCTGGGTAAAAGGAAACAGGCATGTCCTCTTTGTTAACAGTAAAACCTTTCAGAAGGGAGAAGCCTTAAAAATACATCTGCTTATCTAACACTTCATTTCTACAAACCTACCCTAAAAAAAACTGGGAAAAGTACTACAAACATGCAACAAGCTGAGTGTGGTGGTACTCTGATCACGAGTTACTGGGCTGTACATACTGCAAAGCCAGCCTGAACTACAGAGTGAGACCCTGTCTCAAAAAAAAAAAAAAAAGATAAAGCAATTAAGTAGAAACATCCTAAGTGTCCAAAATAAAGGCAAAAAGAATACTACATAGCCACTGAAACTGATATAGAAAACTATGTTGATTTGGGGAATAGTCATGGTACATTTACTAAGGGGAAAAAAGGCTATTTCCTATCTCCATGGCATAAGTTTTGTAAATGTATAAATCTGTATGTATGCTTCTGAGTAAACTGCAAAGGGCCTATACCAAACTTAGCAGTGGTTGTCCTCAGATGCCTCAGACACTGAGGACTGTTTTCTGTTGTTTTCCAAGTGTCTTACATGGAATATGCATTACTTTTGTAATCAGAAAAAGTTATTAAAAGAATATTAAATACAAAAATTGCCTCAAGAAATAGCAATTTTAAAAATCCCCTGGCAGATCTTGAAAATTCACCCATGCCTAGGACCTTCTCTCCTGATAGCTGGATTGGTCCAATGTGAAACTGGCCCAGCATCACCGAGATGTTTGGTTGGGGCTAGGTTCCCAGAAGCCAAAAGTACACGTTTTTTAACTATCCCAAGGTAAAATGAGGAGAGGCAACAAGTCAGTCAAATATGTGACTGGAAACACTGAGTGAGCAATGCAACGAGTCACAGCATGCTGGGGACGGGCTCCCAAAATCCCAGAGAACCGAGCAAGGCAGAGTTCTGCTTCCAAGCCTCCTTCCTGGTCATCCTTACAGGAAGATTTCCGGTCCAGGTCTTTGCATTCCCTTCCTAAGCTGGCTCTAGCAGAATACTTTTTCATGCATGGTTTTCTTAAAAATCTTCCATTCAAGCCCTCAGGCAGTGTCAGAGTCCAACAGTCCACTTTCAGCATGGGGCTCAGCAAGGATTTTGTTACTGCTAGAAAAGGCATTTTCTGAAAAAGCACACCACACGAGGGTCTATAGCCTATGGCCCATGGGTTGGACACAGTTGGCTCACCTGGGCTGCACCGAGTGAAGAGGAATTGTCTTGGGTGGTATATAAAACAGATGATATATACCTGCTGGAAGTGGCAGGGGACAAACTTTAGTATGTTTTTTATTTCTTGTTTTTTGAGACAGGATCTCACTATGTAGTTTAGGCTGGCCTTGAATTCACTACTTAGCCCAGGCTGGTCTCAAACTTGTGGCAATCTTCCTGCCTCAGCCTCCCCAGTGCTGGGATTACAGGCGTGGACTACCACACCTGGCATCTTCTTCAGCATTTAATGTCAGTATAATCCCTACCTGGTCAACACTCAGCTACCCTGAGTGTCTGCTTCCCTCCCTGCACTCCTGAAAGCCCCACCCCGACCCAGATCATCACTCAGAAAAGCTGAGCCTAGTTTACTGCTCACACCCACCGGATCCAGCTTCTTCCTCATCAGCACCTCGAAGTAGTGTTTTTGATGCAGCAAATCAAATATGTACGTCATCTCATTGTACCTTCCAATGCCAGTGAGGAGCCGGACCTGAGGGGAGGGTGTGTGTGTCAGCCATCTCTGGAGTTCTTTGAACCAGACTCCCTCCTGTGCTCCCATCGGGAACTTCTTTGGAGGAATCGCAGTGGCAGTCTCTGGGCACACCACTGGCTGACTGTTCCTTGTCTGCTGTCTAAGCATGACTACCAAGTCATCTGGAGCCGTCTCCTGGGCACTCTCGTGCTTCCCTTGCTCCTCAGTGGCCTCTGTGGCAGGGAACTTGGGAAGGCAAGGAGGCTTGAACTGTCAACTCACTTACCCTGTTCTGTGGAGCCGTGAGCCCTCTAGAAAGGCTCATTTGCCCTGGCATGAGGGTGCAGTGGCCCTGGAACTTAGCAGGGCCCCTCTTCCTCTGCTCTTCTGGTGCTATTTCTGATTAAGATAGAAACCCTAATTCGAGCTGCTGCAGGCTGGTCGGCCCAGTCAACTATGGAGCAGGTCGTGGGATCCAGAGGGGCAGAATTTTCTAAGACCACATCAGCTCTGAACAAGCCCCTAGTCTCTGCTCCTCTCCAAGGTTGCCCCAGAGCAAGTGCAGGCAGAGGGGGCTACTCACCACCAGCCCATACTCCTCGCTGGGAGCCAAGTGGTTATCCGTGAGCATCCGGGCGGCCTGTAGGACTTGCATGATGCCCTCCATGTGGCATGTCAGGGTGAAGCAGTGGTGAGCCAGGATCAGGAGCTCTGTGGCTGGGGTGGGACACTGGTGAGACAAACTTATAAAGCACGGTCACCCACTGTGACCTACCTGGCAGGGAAGGGGCCTATGCAGGGAGCTCTCTCCCTGGTCCCCTCTGGGCCACACTAGCTCTGTCTCTGGGACAACTCTCTGGTGATCTCAAGAATCTTCTCTCAGTGATGAGCCCAGGGATTAACTCTGTCCTCCAGAGAGTCATGCAGTGGCCCTATCTCCAAAGTCTCAAAATGTGAACAAGGGATCCTTGCCTTCTAAACATGGAGAAACTTTGTGAAGTCCAACTGCTGGCGTTTCTGCCAACATGAATCCAAGCTCCTTCTTTGCTTGAACCTCAGTGGGAGGTTTCAGGTGTTCCTGCTTTCTAGACTGGGAAGGATTTGACTGCGTGCAAATTAAAAACTACTACAAGTTGGACACAGTAGCGCATGCCTCTAATCCCAGCAATCAGGCTGAGGGAGAAGGATCTTGAGTCTAAGAACAGCCTGGGGCTACACAGCCAGTTCGAGGCGAACAGAAAGATCCTATCTCAAAACACCAAAAAAACCAAAAAACCCTCTTTTGGGGCCTATCAAATATGAAAAGAGAAACAGGTACCTACCTAAGAGTGAAGGCTGACATTTTTTTTTTACCTGGAGTGAAACTTAGCCAGACACAGATACATATATACATACTTGTGTGTGTGTGTCTGTGCACACATGCATATGTGTACATACATGCATATATACATATGCATGTATGTACGTCTCAGAAGCCTTTAAGATGAGCACACTCTTGAATAAGGACTTTCTCTTAGGGAAGTAATCATGGATGGGTACAGAGATATTCATCAGAATGTTTACAGTAGCAAAAAATGGAAACTAAAGGACCCAAATGGTATAGTTATTATTTTTTACAGTACCGAGAATTGAACCCAGGGCCTATTCATGCCAGGCAAGTGCCCTATCACTGAACCTCATCCCCAGCACCCTGCCCGCCTCAATTCTTTTTTAAAAAAATTCTGAGAAGAGTCTTGCTAAGTTGCCGAAGATGGCCTGAAACCTGCAATTCTGCTTCCGCCTCACTCGGGGCTGGGAAGAGGTGTACACCACCACGCAGAGATAACCGTTTTATGTGTTACATTTAAGACAACTTTTCCATACCTTCTATATTTTCTTTATGGCTTTCTACTAAAAACCCACATTCCATGCTGGAGCACTAGGTGTCCAGAGCAGGAACAAAGATTTAAGTGAGGCTTTGGAGAGATGATCCCAGGAGACCTTTAAGAAGAAGGCTAAGAACTTACTGCACGATAGCTGCCCATGGGGAACAGAGGAAATCTTATCCAGCAACTTCATGCCAACCAAGGTGTGGTCTTGACACAGAGCAGTCAGCTGAAGAAATGTCTGGCTTTCCTCCGCTGGGCTGAACATCTGCTTATGTCCTGCACGGAAAGATGTGGAGACAGGCTAGGTTTACCATGGGAGAGTTGGGAGAAGAACAAAAGCAGCCAGCCTAGGCTGGGTGTGGGAGGTCGTGCTGAGGAGCTCCCTCAGCAGGAATCCTGCTGCTAAGCTCAACCTGGCCCACAGGACAGCAGCAGTGCCTGGGCTGGAGAGGGCAGAAGTACTCTGAGCATGATCAGAAAATAATATAAAACAACAACAAAGTCAGTCCAGTGTGTTCTTTTCCAAATGTGATCTGGAAATGTGAGAGGGCAACATACAGGATGCATCTGCGCATAACATACAAACCCTCGATGCCGGGGACCTGAGACTGCTGTCTGAGAGGCTGGGGCACAGTACCTGTTCCCTCGGATGGGGTCAGCAGCTCCTGCATCACCTCTTCAGCCACAAGTTCAGCCACAGTGTCTGGAGGGAGGCCCTGGGTACTGATGAAGGCCTGGGCTCGCCTGCACCGGTCAGGCTGTTGGGAGGCCAGGATTGCGTGGAGTAAGGCCTTGCCATCCTGGGTAGCAACCTCTGTGTAGGAACAGCCCAACTCCTGGGGGGAAGGAAGAGCCAAAGTTCTTCTTAGGAGCCAAGAAAAATCAAGTAGGAAATGTGATATGGGCAAATCCCATTGTTTTCTAAATTTAAAAAAACCTCCCCCTGCTGGGCGTGGTGGCGCATGCCTGTAATCCCAGCACCTGGGAGGCTGAGGCAGGAGGATCCCTGCAAGTTCGAGACCAGCCTGGGCTACAAAGTGAGCTCAAGGCCAGCCCGAACTGCATAGCGAGACCCTGTCTCAAAAAGACAAAAAAAAAAAAAAAAAAAAGACAAAAAAAAAATCCCTCCCCTGAACAAGAACCTCTGAGGAAACTACTATTTTCTAGTCCTTTCTATCACTCACCACAGCCAGATTCAAGCAAAAGAAAGGCTTATTATCAGAAAACATCAGATGACTGTCTCCAGTTGAATACTGATCATTTCAAACATAAGCAGCATAAGAAAGCAGAATAAAATGCAATAGTACCTTCCTCACTGTTCCCATAGCAGTAGCAAAACCTTCAAATTTCCAAAGAAGCCTTGGCGTCTCCCCTAAGTCCAGGTGCTTTGACACTTGGTTTTATTCCCCTCAGGCTCTTGTACATCCTGTCTACTGTTTGCGTCTTCAAAGCAGCACACAGCCACAAACATCCTGGCTGCTCTGGCTCCTGCTTTATAGTCACTGCACTCCATATGGAATGTTCTACACAAGCGGGAAGAAAACCTAAGACACGAGCTCTAGAGGGGACCCTTATGTTCTAGTTATCATTTAAGTGGAGAGCAAGGGGTCCACTGAGGTAAATATCTTGCCCTAGTCTTCTGGGTGGTGAGCTGTGCCCAGGGCTCATACTGCCCTGGGGCTTGGCCCGGTGTCCTCCCCACTATTCCCTGCAGACAGACTCACAGGGGCCAATATCCCGCCAAAAGCTCTGCTCCCAAGTCACCTGGGAGGCTGACGTTACCACCTGAACGGCCGTCACGGCAGTGTCCAAAATCTACCTCCAGCTTCCCCTCCCAGGAGACCTCCCGCGTACCTTGGCAAGTTCATACAGGCAGAGAATCTGCCGGCAGTAGTTCTTCCCATAAAGGCATTTGCTTGTCAGAGTTTCCAGATTTGTCACCACTTCATCACTTGGGGGTATCATCACAAATGACTGACTATCCAAACTTGAAGCTGGAAGCAAACACAAGTCTGAGGGGGCTCTAGGCTGGCAGTTACGACCTCTCCCCCGGCCCTTCTGACGCTGCCTCTCTGCATGCAGCTCCCGGCATTATGCTCTCGTGGCCCCCCTCAGTCTGGGATCACCTCTGAAAAGGCCCCACTTGAACTTCTTTCATTAACTTCTAGGAAGACCTCATGCTGCCAGAGTCTCGAAGCCACCTAGAGATCAGCACCAACTTCCCCACCAGGCTCCCCAACACACACTCCCTCCCCATTTCCCTTCCTGTCAAATAAATCACCAGGCATGCACCTGCATCTGCATCTGCACCTGCACCTGTTTCTCAGTCTCGGCCTGCAGCATCCTGTGTGTGAGAGGCTGTTACCTGGCTCTTGCTGCGAGCCTCCCTCGGCTCAAGTTAACCATCCACATACTCATTTCCAAAATGCAAATATACCTTGAAAGTGCGATAAAATTAAATCCATCTCGATTTAAAAATAAAAATCTTTGGGCTGGCAACTTGGCTGAGTAGTAGCAGCCCTCTGCAGAAACACCCCCCTAAAACAGCCTCAATAGTAGAGAACTTTTTTTGCGGGGGAGGACCAGAAATCAAAATCAGGACATCATGCTTGCCAGGCAGGCGCTGCACCACTGAGCTATTTTCCCCAGCCTAGAAAACTTTTTTAAAAAAATGTGATAAAGTGTTTCTATTAGGAAAGAAAGTAGGATGTTTATGTAATGAGTGTGTGTATGCGTGTGTGTATGCGTGTGTGTGTGTGTGTGTGTGTGTGTTGCTGGGGATGGGATCTGGGGCCTTGTGCATGTAGGCAAGTGCTCTACCACTAAGCTACGTGTCCCGTCTTTTTTATTATTTTGAGGAGTGTCACTAAGTTGCCCACTCTAGCCTTGAAACTTTCGAGCTGCTGCCGCACCCTCCCAAGTAGCTGGGATTACAAGAGTGCATGTTGCATCCAAGCAAATAAAAAAGTTATCCCAGGGAGTTTGATGAACATGACACTGAAATCACTTTTTACTCTATACACTTCTGTATTATGTTACTTGCTACAATAAATACATTAAGCTGTTGCATTCAAAATACTAAGCAATGCTGGGTGTGCTAGCACACACCTGTAATCCCCGCACTTGAGAATTTGAGGCAGGGGGATGGTGAGGCTGGGGCCAGCCTGGGATATATGGCAAGACACTACCCCCAAACCCCAAACATACATACATACATACATACATACATACAAGTTAAGCATTATAAATGCTCTAAAGACAAATGAAATTCAACTCAGACCATGTAATTCCTATTCATCCTTCACTGCAGGGTCCAATTCTAGGTGAGATGAAATAAGCTCAGTGCACACTGCCTCCCTCTGAGTAAGAGAAGGAGACAGGAGAGAGACAGACCAGGTCACCCCAGGCAAACCTGCGCATGACACCACTCTGCACAGATTGCAAGCACACGCTCTGTGAAAAGCCCTCTAGAACCAGTTACGGGGGCAGGAGAGGGAGCTCCTAATTCCCACTCTACCCTGCCCTAGCTCCTAAGAACCCCTGGGCAGTGGTGACAGGGGCTGCAGTGGCAGCTGGAACGACCCAACTCAGAGACAGGAAGCTTCTTTTTTTTTTTTTTTCCAGTACCAGGAATCGAACTCATGACCTTGAGCTTGCCAGGCAATTGCTGTGCTGCTGAGCTAAATCCCCAGCCCCAGGAAGCTTCTTTTCTAAGTATGGTCCTCTGGACTCGAGGGTGAAGTAAACTGCTACTGCTCTTGCTATTCTCCCCTCACCCGGCCCTGGAGGTGGGTGTGGTCAGGGAACAGGTGACAGGGTAGGTCAGCTAACCCTTCCGCACTGGGCTGGAGGAAGGAAAAGAGAAGCCTCGGAGATCCAGAAACTACCTGGAAGAGGCACAGGAAAGCAACCCAGCGAAATGTGTATTATCGCAGGGCTCCCTCCTGGGCTGTACATGATGGGTCTCAGCCTGACCAGCACACTGAAGCCTGGGAGAACTGCAGTGACCTGTGTGGCACTCGCAGGGCACACTGACCTCGGAGCGTGCACACTGCCAAGGACACTGCACTGCTGTCAAGACCATAGCCCACACAGGGCCTCAGCCTGAAGCACACAAGTCTGCCAGAGAATATCAACATTCTTACAGGATTTAAGTAAGACCCAGAGTTTCAGTGAGTATATTAGAATAGAAACTATTCAAAATATGCAGGGATGCAACTCCCAAAAGTAAGTACACCAAAAAGCTGAAAAATCTCTGCTTACCAGAGGGAAAAAAAAAAAAAAAAGATGCCAGCCAGCATGAAAATGACATACATGTCACATACAACAGACTTCAAAGCAGCTGTTAATGAATGTTCCAACAAGCGACTGTATATGGTCCTGACACAAAGTGAAATACAGAATGGTCAGTGAAGAAACAAGACAATTTAGAACACAGAAATTTCAGAACTGAAAACCTGAAATGCAACAGTCACAGAAATAAACACTCAATGGCAAATGAAAATGACAGAGGAAGAGCTCAGTGAAAATGAAGATAGATCAACAGACATTACCCAATCTAAATAACAGAGAAAAATGTGGAAAAGAGGCTGAACAAAGCCTGTGTGATAATAACAAAGTTCTTCATTTATGACATTAAAGTTCTAGAAGAAAAGGAGAAAGATGATGCTGCTAAATTTTTTTTCAAAAAATTAAGACTGAACTGTGGCTGGTGGTGCCTACCTGTAACCCCAGCACTCAGGAGGCTGAGGCAGGAGGATCACAAGTTCACCGTCAGCCTGGCTTATAGAGTGAGTATTTCCCAAGTTTGACAAGATACACAAACATATATTTAGCAAGTTCAGTGAGTCTCACAGAGTAAACCTACTGAAGTATATACTAAAATTTTGAAAGCAACCAAAAATATATGCATACTATGTGTAAGTGAACACTGACTCAAATACAGATTTTTCATCACGATACTGTGGAGGCCCAAAGCAAGTGCAACTTTCTTCTCTCTTCTCCTCTCTTCTCTCTTCTCCTCTCTTCTCTTCTCTCTCTCTCTCTCTCTCTCTCTCTCTCTCTCTCTCTCTCTCTCTCTCTCTCGCACTCCCTCCCTCCCCCCATTCTCTTTTCTCCCCGATTCCCTTTCTTGTAAGTGTATTTTATAAATATCAAATTCTGTAAAACTACATGTCACTGTTTTTCATTCTGGAAAATGTTGGTGTCAGAAGGCAAACAGAACTTTTTTTACCAGTGTTCTGGCTCTAGTTCTTTACCGTATTTCATTAGGAAACTTTACCACCCCACTATGCATCAATAGTAGCTAAAACATAACAAAACCATGTTTATTATTCATCATTTTAATGATCTTTTCAGTACAGGTCATTGTTAAGCAAATTATTGTAGATTTTACTAAAGAATTTGTTGACTCAAAGGTTAACAAATATAATTTCTGTTGGGTTTTTTTTTGTTTTTTTGTCTTTTTGAGGCAGGGTCTCACTATGCAGTTCAGGCTGGCCTTGAGCTCACTTTGTAGCGCAGGCTGGTCTCAAATTCGCAGCAATCCTCCTGCCTCAGCCTCCCGAGTGCTGAGCTTACAGGTGTCCGCCACCATGCCTGGCCTGTAGTTTTGTAGATTAGAACTTTTTCTGAGATATGACAATTCCAAGAAAATGTTACAAACTAAAATGATGAAATGTTTTATGTAGACATGAAGAGTGAATCACAGTACATCTGCTTTCTGGGTGAAACAAAGTTTACTATTTCTTATTTGGTAAGTAGCTCTTAAGCTATCTTAGTAAGATGTTAATAAAACTACCTTATTTTATATTTCACTTAAGGTAGAGCGCCTTAACTAAAGGATCATGTTTATTCATTGCTTTAATATTAGAAGGGAAGTAAAGAAGTAAGAAGTAGTCTAAATGGTGCACCTGAGAAATAAATGTTTAGGAAAAATGCAGTTCTTTAAGATTTTTATCTTACTCCTAAACTGCAATGAGAAGTGATAGCTAAACATGCAGGTAATCTATGTTAAGAGGAACAGGAAATTGATAGGTAACATTATACATTCTAAGTTTGCACATAAGCTTTGCAGAGACTGGTTACTTTTCAGAGCTGTAGTTTCCTTTCATTATCCTTTTTCAGTCACTTTTAAAGTTATTCCTATGTGGATATGGTTAACTGAGTTGGCTTAACCACTTACCAATCCAATTATTTAAAAAAAGGATGGGCCAAAAGTTGCATATTTTAAATTAATTTTTATAAGATAATATAACAGGAAATATAAAATCACAATTTTATCACATTTATTCAGTAGAAGAATCAAGTGGTTTGAAAGGACACCTGCCCAAGTGACCCTCAGGATATTACGTAAACAAATGTGCTGCCTGAGTGTTGCTTAGGGTAACTGTAAATGGTTAATGTGGTGACATAATAAATTACTTACAAAATTTTAAACATGGAATAAAAATTTAGAAAGTCCATTACTTTATTATAACCCTTACAAACCTGCTCTGCAAGAATGCATTCTAAATTAAACGCCGTGTTTCCGTTTCCACTGTGTTCTACATAATCTTCTAGGAATCAGGTAAAGTTTTCAATGTTCAGTTCATTCTTGGCACTTTTTCCTAAATAAAGGCTTTTGGGCCTAAATAGGGAAGATGACTTTTCTTCTCAGAACCTGATTCTAAATGGTTATCAATTTTACCAGACCTTCCAGCTCCATAGCTAACTACTATTCAAATGACCACTGACTGAATTTTCTTCATGTTCTGCTTAGCCCAGTGTTATCAAGGTATGCAAGGGCACTGAAGTACGCCAACTTCTGTCAAAGCATTTTAGGGCACTGGCAGCTCTAGAAGGTTTTCCAGATTCCTGTTTCTATTCTTAGCCAAAGGAGGCCAGAATAGGTTTTGGATATAAGAAAGTCATAAAATTGCCATTTTAGAAAGCTCTGATGTAAATTCAAATTATACCTCTGTTACTTAAAGCCAACAATTTTAAGGCAGTAGTT